GTTAGGATTGTCTGTTGTTGCAGGAGTTCCTCTTATCCAGTTTTCAGTTCTGTCTCAGGGGTAATTTTTCCACGAGTAGTTGTAAATTGGCTGTGTCCGCAGGAGGAGGTGAGTTCAGAGTCTGCCTACGCCGCCCTCTTGACTTCCTCTCCCTCTATTACTTGCTTTTATTAATTATAAAATTTTATGACATTATAATCTATTTCTCAGATTATCTGTACTATTTCTTTGACCTACATTTCTTTTTATGTGTTTGTTCTATAATTAATTTCTGTTATTTCATAATGCGATCTAATATCTGGTGGTGGAATACGCATATTCTTTTGCTAAATATTTTGAGTTAATTTGGGGAACACAAATTATGAATGTGGAATATATGATTAACCTAATTTTATTCTTTCTCTTTTATTTTTATCTAGCGTCAGTGGATACCACTACCTGGGAATATCCAGATGTCTGCAGACATTATTTTGGCTCCTTTGGACAGTGGTCGAGTCTCCTTTTCTCCTTGGTGTCTCTCGTTGGAGCAATGATAGTTTATTGGGTGCTTATGTCTAATTTTCTTTTTAACACTGGAAAGTTTATTTTTAGTAAGTATCCATATGCTTTAACAGTTACTTTCAGATACAATAGCTACTGTAATGTTTTATTTTCAGCCTTAAACTCTGGACTTGGGATAAATAAATAGTAATATTTGTAATTCTGGAAAATATACTTGATTCAATTTGTTTTCTATAGTTATGATCTCAAATATAATGTGTATGTTCATTTCCAAAACTAGTTTTTGAATAAATAATGTTCCTTCAAATTCTCTAATTAATATAAAATATCTCTAAGCCCCAGCAGATGTTGTAAGCATTGTATCAATCCTTACCACAAAATTTTAGTATAACAGAAAAGTTTATGAAGTTTATTGGTGTTTGTTGCTAAAGAATTTGATTTGTAGAGTCTCGAGGAAACAAATTTCAATCACTTATTTTCACAATATTAGGATCTAAAATTAGGAAACAGAATAATGGAACTTATGTGGTAAATATATTATTTATATACCACAGAATTGTAATTTGCCGGAATCAGCTACTTGAATTCTGAAGGGAGTCTTAGAAATTCAGACCAAATACTCTTTATAAAATTTTTAAGTTGGATAGGGAAAGTTTATTATATATTGAATAAGATTCCAAATTTTTTTCCCTGATGACTCATATACCTAAAGTTTAGTATGTTTTTAGCCAGCTTTAAATAAACCCTATATATTTAAAATCTAGATTTACATGAAAACCAAATGTCAAAATAAGTTGTAACATAATCACAACAGCTAGTTTCCCTAAGAGCTTTCGAGGAGGAGGTTAGTGACGGGGGATAAATTCTACTTTTATTTTAAACAATAAAATTCACATTTTAATTAAGTTTTTTTTATTACCAAGCATTTTTATTGTATGAAAAATTATGAAATATGTCAAACTACCAAAAAAAAATGCAGAAGCTAACATAGATACCAGTGTAACCACTAATGAATTTTCATATCTTAACATTTTGCCATATTTACATCAGTTTTCTTTACAGACGTATAATTGAAGCCCTATGTATATTCCTTCTCAATCTCATTTTCCTTCTTCCCTAAATTTGGTACAAAATTTGGTACATGCATGTTTTTCTTCTTTTAATACATAGATATATAAGCAACATACAGTATTATTTTGCATATTTTTAATCTGTATATATCCTTTTGCAACTTGCTTTTTGTCTATCGTCTTGATGAATACTCATAGTTATAGTTCATTTTAACTGCTTTATAGTATTCCATAATATGAATGTACTATGACTTTTTTATCCATTCTCTTGTTGATGGATGTTTAATTTGTTTTCAGTTATTTTGCTCTTACAAACAAGGCTGTATTAAAAATTTCTGGAATTTAGGATATTCACATTTTCAACTTTACTAGAAATTACCAAATTGTTCTTTATCATTCTTGTCCAGTTACACTCCTGCCAACAGTTTGTGAAAGTTCCCTTTGTTGGTATTATCAGACTTAAATTTTGCCGCTCAGGATGTGGTTTTAATTTGCATTTCTCTTCATAAGGAGTGACATTAGACATCATTCCTTAATTATACTGGTCATTAGATAGCTTGTTCATATTCTTTGTCCATTTTTCTATTGGATTATTGGTCTTTTCCATATTTATAGGAGCTCTTTGTAAAGTTTGGATACTGATCTTGTATTCATTATTGTGTTGTAAATATCTTCTAGTTAGTGGCTTGTCTTCATTTTGTATGTGGTGGCTCTATTGTTTAGAAGTTTTTTATTTTACTTTCAAATTACTCAGTCTTTTCCATTATGGTCTATAACTCTTCCACATACATTTTAGAATCAACTTGTCAAATTCCACAAAAAAATCCAATCACAATTTGATTGAAATTGCATTGAATTTATCAGTCAGTGTACCATTATGTATCTACCAGCACCATAATTAATGTCGTTAGGGTACTGGGTTTAGGATTTGATTGGAATTGCATTGGATTTATAGATGTGGAGAGAACTGGTATCATTACAATACTGAGTCTTCCTATCTGTGGTCATTTCATGGCATAGTTCTCCATTTACTTAGGTCTTCTTAAATGTCTTTTAAATTTTTCTTGATAAAGATCTTTCATATCTTTTTTTTTTTTTTTTTGGTAGGGAAGATTAGCCCTGAGCTAACATCCATGCCAATCCTCCTCTTTTGCTGAGGAAGACTGGCCCTGGGCTAACATCTGTCACCATCTTCCTCCACTTTATACGGGACACCACCACAGCATGGCCTGACAAGCGGTGCATCCATGCGTACCTGGGAGCCAAACCCAGGCCGCCAGCAGTGGAGCTTGCACACTTAACCACTATGCCACGGGGCCGGCCCCCCATATCTTCTTTTTAGATTTATTCTCAGTACCCTAAAATTTTTTTGTGTATATATAGTTTTAATTTAATATACAAACACACACACTTTTTATTACAGAAAATTTCAAACATATACAAAGGAAACAGAACAGTATAAGGAACCTTCATGTTCCCGTCACCTAGTTTCAACAATTATCAACATTCTGCCATTCTTGAATCATCTATACCAGTGTTTCTCAACTTTTTTTTCATTATTGCCCTCTTACGGAGCCTTTTTAGATGTTTTTTTCCTAATCACTCCTCCTATGAAATTTTAATATCACACATATACTGTATATCTATTTATGAACTGTATGTATATCTGTGCTGTATGTGTAAAAATAGTAAATTTTTTTTGCCCCTTAGGAATGAATTTTTCCCACTTGGTAGCAATTTTGTATCCATTGAGAAAACATGATCTATCCCTGTACGCACTCCCCACCTCAGTTGACTTATTATTATATATGTAGTTCTCTTTTTTAGATAGAATTTACGTTTATTGAAATACACAAATCTTAGCCATACAATTTTGACAAATGGATAAGTCCATGTAACCCACACCCCCTTCATGAAATAGAACATTTCCACCTCCCCAGAAAATAGTGACGTATTTTGTAATAATAAAAAATTCTAATTGTTACTGTTATAAAAAGACCTAATTAATTTTTGACTGTCTTGAATCTAGCAAAATGCTGAACTCTTATTGATTCTGATTTTGTAGGTTCAGTTTGGATTTTCTGTTTAGATAGTTATATTGTTTGTGAATAATGAAAACTTTTTCCTGTCTAGTTATTTTTTAAATGTCTCATGTACACATACATTTATATTTATGTACATACACACTTATATTTGTATATACACACAGAGACACATCTATACACACATATATATGTTTACATATACACATATGTAGATATGTTTATCTTTTTTAAAGTATAAATTTGTATAGATGCAGTGCTAGTAGACATCTTTATACTGTTCCTGAGGAGATCTTTCTAATGTTTCACCATTAAATATTATGTTTGTTGTGGGTATTGGTTGTACCCTTTAGTCATTTAAAGATGTTCCTGCCTATTGTTTTCTTAAGCATTTTTATTAATGCATGTTGAATTTTATCAAATACTTTATCTGCATCTTTTGAAATGATCATAAAGTTTTTCTCCTTTAAATTGTTAATAAGGTGAATGAAATGAATGCATTTTGTAATATTTAAATCATTCTTATATTCTGGGATAAACTTAAATTAGTTTGTTAATCATGATCTATAGTTTTAAATTTCTTACTGGATTCAATTTACTTTTGGGAGGGACGGGGCTAATATTTTATTTAGAACTTTTGTGTCTTTTCATAAGAGATATTGGCCTACAGGTTTTGCTTCTTATACTGTCCTTACTGAACCTTGGTATATTAAGGCTGCTGTAACAAATTACTATAAACTCTTTGGCTTAAACAAGATAAATTTATTCTCTCACAGTCCTAGAGACTAGAAGTCCGAAACGAAAGCATCAGTAGGGCTTTGCTCCCTCTGAAGCCTCTCGGGAAGAATCCTTCCTTGCCTCTTCCTAGCTTCTGGTGATCGCTGGCAATCCTTGGCATTCCTTGTAGCTGTGTCGCTCCAGTTTCTGCCTCTGTCTTCACATGGCCATCTCGCCTCAGTGTGTCTGTATTCAAATTTCCCTCTTCTTATTAAGGACACTGGTCACTGAATTTAGGGCCTACCCTAATGCAGTATGACCTCATCTTAACTTGATTATATTTGCAAAGACCCTATTTCCAAATCAGGTCACATTCTAAGGTTCCTGATGGATGTGGATTTGAGGAGACACTATTGAAACCACTATACTTGGTATCAAGATTTTGCTAGCCTTATGTAAGTTTTTGGCATTAGAAATTACATAAAAATGCATAACTTCCAATCTTTATCACTAATCCCTTGGATATACTGTAGAAAACCTAGAGCACTGAACTACTTCTTTTATTCTATCTTGAGAAGCATGCAGTGGAGGTGAATAATTAACATATTTAACTTACTTTATGACCTTAAAGCCTAATCCAACATTTTTTACCATCTCATTCAAGTTTCACAACATCACACACTTTTATTAATGCTTATTAAGGTTATAAAAAAGGTTAATATCAAATAGAACAAAGTAAATTCCCTCAGGCTAGCAAGAAAACACATTCTTTACTTATTCTCTCATTCACTATAGAATGATATGAATGCTCAAGTATCTGCACATGCTTTCTACTTTGCTACTCCCTCTAGTATTATTTAGTGGTGCTTGTGAGCAATAATTACTATATAGCCTTTGGTCTATAACAGTGTGTACTATACTTGTAAAAGCTTTAAGTGATTTTCCAGGTAAGTTTGGCTCTTATGAGTGTTGGTTTTCCCCTTTTGCAGACTTTAGAACTTTATATAAGATGTAACTATACTTATATAATATTGTGAGTACAGGGAAAAGATTGTACACATTATCTTTATTCCAGTGCTTTTATCTAAATTCAGCTTTGTGGATCGATTTTTTAAAAATTCTCAGTTATGTAAAAATTTTCCACATTGGGACTGTGAAGCCAATAACATTAACATTCCTGTAAGAGGAGAATGCTGAAGAAGGTGAAGCTATGTTAACAATGATATAGTCTTGGTTCAGTGTATAGATAATATTAGTACCCAGTAGATCTTAAAAGATTTTTATAGATAAAAGACTTTAGAGGGTGATTGATTTAGCATCTTTCATTCAGTATTACATTATATTTTTTCCTTAATTTTTAGATTTTATTCATCACATTAATGACACAGACACTGTACTGAGTACCAATGATAGCAACCCTGGTAAGTAGCTTGGAATGTAAAGTTTGGCTTGTTTTTTGTTTTTTTTTTTGAGGAAGATCGGCCCTGAGCTAACATCTGCCAATCCTCCTCTTTTTGCTGAGGAAGACTGGCCCTGGGCTAACATCCATGCCCACCTTCCTCCACTTTATATGGGATGCCGCCACAGCATGGCTTGCCAAGTGGTGCGTCGGTGCGCAAGGATCCAAACCGGCGAAACCCGGGCCTCCGCAGCGGAGCGCGCGTACTTAACCACTTGCGCCACCGGGCAGGCCCCTAGCTTGTTTCTTTATTCCCCACCTTGCTCCAAAAAGGATTTAAAGTGGAACCTATCACTTTAATTTAGGCTAATGATTAGCATAAAATCATTATTATGTTAACTGAGCCACTGTTAAATTGTTGGCAATCAGTGTATTAAACAAAAAAACTCCACTAAAGTTTGTGTTGCTGTGAGCTTAACAATATTTAGTTGATATTATACAACTCACAATTTCAGCCCATATCTATAGTATCCATATTTGCCTATGAATAATCCATACATATTTTTAAGAAGCTGTATTGCTGCTAATTGTTTGGGGAATCTGGAAACATAGTTCTCAGTTTGTTAACTTAGTTTTGACGTTTATTGCCTTAGTTACTACTATTTAAGATACACAAATCTGTATCCTATCAAATAATTAATCTTCTAATAATGAACAGAGGTTAGTAGGTATGGAAAAGTAAATTGAAGGTTTGGCAAAAAAATTTTTAATTTCTTAGAAAAGTTTTTCTTTAATTTATTTCTTAAAAATAAATCTTTGTAGCCTGTAAGTTTATCCAGTGTGGCAGTCACAGGGAAAGTGAATATGAAAGCTCATGTAACCTTGTCAACAGTTGTCCTGTTAACCTTGAATATCACCTAAACCTTTTGTGTATTTAGATTCCAAAGACACTAAATTGATATCATTTTGGTGAAGGTACACATTGATCACTAAGAGGACAATTTATTCAATATATATTTATTAAGCCTGTTATGTGTTAGGAACTGTTCTAGGCTCTGGAGATATAATGAAGAGACAAAAGTCTCTCCTCTCATGGAGCATGTATTCCAAGGTTTGCTATTCAGTATCTTACCTTGCCCTTTAATTAAACTGATTAAACTGTCTTTTGTTAACACTAGAAAATGAGAGAGTGAAATACTGGCTTTTATTCCTGTGGACACACACAAACACACACCTTTGAATAATTATATGAAAATATTTTAGCATAATTTTAAAATATGTCTCTTGCACCCTGTCCCTTACCTCAGAATTTTTAAAGAACCAAATTACATCCTTGTCTTAAAAGAGAAATTTATTTTACGATAGCTATTCTGATATCAGTTAATGAAACTTGTTTGTTAATATCTAATAGGATCTTCAATAGGGATTCAGTTCATGGTTGAATTCATAAATATCACAATTATACTGATGATTTGGAGAGCACCAGCAGTAAAGTCAGTTACTTTGCATAGTGATATCTTATGTTGATACTTGCACTTCTTGATTCTTCTTTTTATTTTGAACAGTGTGTTAAATAGAATATGAAACAATCCATCTCAGTTAATGTAAAAAATTACAGCTAACATTTATTGAAAATTTACTGTGTGCAGACATTGTTTTAAATGTTTTACAGCAACTCTATAAGATAGATACTGTTATCTCTACTTTCTAGATGCAGAAACCAAGGCACAGAGAAGTTGACTTGCCCAAGGTCACATAACTATTAAGTGACAGAGTCAGGATTCTGTCAATTTACTTCCATAGCCTGTGCTCTTTACCACTATAATTATTAGCACAAGAAAAATTCAAGTTAATTTACTTCTGTCCAGAGCACAGAAGAAAAAAGTGCATGTTAAAATGCTGACTAAGAAGGAGGGAGAAAGAAAATTGTTTGGCTTTGTGGCATGCCAAATAATGGATAGAGAATAGAATTAAAAACAGAATTTACAATGAATATATCACTTTCTCTTTGACTAGTGATGAGTATGATTATTGCTCAGTATGCGTATTTTTCACCAGCATTAAGAATTCTTTACAAAGAGCTGATTATTAGCAAAAGCACTATTATGAAATTAGAAAGCATGGGAATAATTACTATTCCATCTGATAAAAGAAGAAATTCCCACTTGTAGACCAGTGTTAGGAAAAATACAATTTACTCACTTCCCAGTTCTGTGGATATCATCTAGGTGCTTAGGCTGCTGTCAAATGTGATAAACTTCCAGAAGAATTACTCTGGGTTGCTGGAATTCAGGATTCCTAAGTTATAAGCAGTAATTAGGTTTTGGCAATACCACGGCAGCAGTTTAAGTGATGTCCAGTTTTTATTCCAAACTCATAGATTTTGTTTATTGTTAGAAAAAACCTGTTCTTTAGCCTTTGGATGGATTATTAGCACAACAAACAGTTACCCTGAATGATATTTCTTATATTATTGTATAAATAAAACCAAATACCATCCAGCCCAATATTTTCTCTCTGGCAGTGGAACCAAGGGATATTCAGTGGGATATTTTTATAGTTTCCAGTAAAAATTAAGGATATGCCTCAAAATTTTCTAAGATTCCCCCACCTTGAATCATTTACAGGTGAAAGATTCCTAATATATCTAAATATAACTCTCCATTTTTTCCAAAAGGGAGAAGCTTAGTATTCACGGTAAAAGCTGAGGTTGGTAGAGCAGGTGTCAGTCTCTGGGAGTAGTCATTTTCTGTTCTTTGTAGTCTTCTCTAATCCAGTGCTTTCCTATTGCAGTGATTTGTCCAAGTGCCGGGAATGGTGGCCATCTTGACAATGGCTCTATCATTTTCTACGCCAATGACACAGGACTCCAACAGTTTGAAAAGTGGTGGAATAAGTCCAGAACAGTACCTTTTTACCTCATAGGGCTCCTCCTGCCACTGCTCAATTTCAAATCTCCTTCATTTTTTTCAAAATTTAATATCCTAGGTAAGTCGAGGCACTGTGTTGTGGAACCTCTGTGTAGTAGATGAATACATGCTGAATTCTGTGGCCGGGAAGAGTGTTCTCTTCCAGGCCTGTTCATCTATGTTTAATTTGTCACCCTTATGTTACCCTGCTTTTTGGTTTTCTGTATAGAGTTTGGCACAGAGAAAAATGTGGATGACCATTTCAAGTCCAATTCTCTTTTTTTTTTAGGACGAGTTATTGGGTTTCCCATTCTATCCTTACTGAACAACTCTTCCTCATTTCCTCTGAAGGTACAGTTAGAGGAAATAGACTAAGATTTCAGGAGGAGAGATTCAAAGTGATTATTATAGGAATTCTCAATTCTAAGGGTTGGAAATATTAGAACCTACTAAGGAAGGATATGGAATATTTTTTTCTACAATTTCTATTTAAGAGTGTAGAACAGAATTATCATCTGACTTTCAACCTGGGATATTCTCTAGCTCAAGCTTCTTAGGTTTATTCTGCATTTACTCTCTTCCTTAGTGCTTTTTTCATTCTTGGAATACTGTTGCCTCCTTAAAGAAACAGATTTCTTTCTGTGAGCCCTGTTTTCTGTAAATTTCTGAAATCACTGAAGAAATTTCCGAATCACTAAAGGAATATTTTGACCCTATCTTCTTTTACAACACTGAGCCTTAAGATGGCAAAAGGAACCCTCAAAGAAAGCTCAGATCTGGTTAACTAAAGACAAGGGTATCATTCAAAAAGAATTGATAACCCCCAATAGACCATAGTATTTCGTTTCCTCCTTGTAGATCTGATTTCCTGGTAGGCAGTCTCGAGTATAAAATAAGTAGATTACTCATCACATCAAGGAAGGTGGCTTTTGGGTTTCCAAAAGACCAAAGGGAGAGTTAAGGATATTTCTTGATACCTCTCTGCCTTACAACAGGATTCACTGTAAGACTGCCACAGACACACACAGAAACTGAAGCATTGTGGTTTTATAAGCTTTGGCTTCTTGTTTTCATCCTTTCTGAATCAGCTAATCTCCAAACCCACAGTAGAGCTTATATAGCTCATTTGTGGTTTCCTGATTTACTTGCCGACTTTCCTATGCAACAGATCTTTTAAAGTTAGCGTATAAACTTATAGAAAAATTTGTTCAATTGGGCAAAATAATCACCAACCTTCTAACCAGGTTGATTATTCTCCACCTTCTTAAGGATATTCTGCTTTTGCCCTTTTTCATCATACTTTCTGTTTCTTTTAAAACGATATCTTCTTTAGAGGAATTAGCATCTAATTCCTGTAGAAACCTTTTTGGGTTTCCTAACTCTACTCCACAATGACTGGACTTAATTCCTTAAAAGGAATAATCCCCTACTTCCAGACTACTAAAAAATTCCAAATACCCACTTTACTCTGTATATAAACCTGTGAATGGAATCTGGAATCTTTCCACCTAGCAAGTAGTACTATCCAATCAAAACCTCGTCTAGATACTAGACCAGATTGTTCATGGATTATTTAGTTTATTGCCTTTCTCAAATAGGTTTATGATCCACATTCACTACTTTTCTTTCTTTACTTTATCATCTTAAGCTAAATATTGTGACAGACTTGAACAACTTATTGATCATCTCTAATACTTCCAGTACAAAGAATGAGTCAGTTTTATGTTGTTTTTCTTCTCCTGTGTAACCATACAATTTTGTAGTGGACTCTCTGCATATATCCTCCACTAAACTCAGCTCATGAGTAAATTAGGCAATTTTGCATTCAGCAATATATGAGCTACCTTCATCTGGTTCTTCTTAGGCCTACTACATATTTTTTTGCTTTGTTTTCTGATGACTCACATAGCTTATTTCTGTTCTTTAGATCCCATCTGAGTTTTAGTGGGCATAATCAATGAAGGTAATAATTTTCCAAACTTTGCTGAGAATGTAGAAACAAAGCTTGATTTTAAAATAGTCTGTAAAACACACAAAGATGATAAATGATTAAAAAAATTTCTGAATTTTTTCTCACAGGCACAGTGTCCGTTCTCTATTTGATTTTCCTCGTCACCTTTAAGGCTATTCACTTGGGATTTCATTTGGAATTTCATTGGTTTATGCCAACAGAATTTTTTGTACCAGGTGAGCTATTGTAGCCAAATAAAGAATTAATAAATTACAATAATGTGATCTTTAAGTTAGCTGTTGTTAACTATTGCTATTCTAGAACAAGAACAATGGTATTTTTTTATTATGAGCATTTTTATTAATGTTATTAGACTAAAAACAAGAGTACAATTGAAATTACTCTGGTTTTCTTGTAGTTAGGGGTAACCAGGGCCCTTTGTCGTTTATACTTGGGTGTTGAAGTTCGTTGAAGTTACAATGCAAATGAGAAATCAAGAACTCATTCTCTAGACTTTTCTGAGAAAACATACCCCTAAAATTTCAGAGACTGAGAACATGGTCAGAGATTAATATATGTGGATTATACTGCTCATTAACATCATTGTTCCCCTTATGGTTTTTTTTTTTAATATTGCTGTTTTTCAGGCTAATTAAGATGTAATTATTAAGTGTTCCCTCTTTTTTTTTCTCATGGTTATAACTTGGCAGTTTCTCAAATTTCACCCAAATTTAGAGTATTTTGGTCATGATAAAAGCACAGTGAAGCAATGAATGGGTAATACTAAATGAGGAGACGGATTAGAAAATAGAAGAGACTATTATACTAGTATCTTGAAAACTGGAAGCTGGAAAACTGATAGGAGAAAGTAGTACAAAATTCTGTTGTTGGTTTAGAAAAACTACTTTCTTTCCATTCTTCCACTGTTGATTCAGGTGGTCTAGAATTTCAAGTCTCTATTCAGTATCTGGTGTTACTCTCTGAAGTCTGCAGTTGTAGTTGTCTACTACTTTTTTTGTTTCTTTTGTTACAACTTTCCTGGGTTTTCCAGGTATACTGAGTTGGTGGTCCTTGGGAGTTGTTGTTTATGTTACCATGGTTACTTGTTTTCAGATTGTGGCTGCATTAGCTTTGATTTTTTATTTTCATTAGAAACCCACAAAGACTAAAAAGTCTGCGTAAATTCAGGGTAAAGGAAGTGCTGGGGCTTGAAAGGCATCCTTCTCTCTGATAGTATTTAAAATTGGACATTGATGAAAATGGCAACTTTAAGCTAGTTTAAGCTATTGATTGATAAAAATAGTCTAGAATATTATTTTCTAAAATTAGATCCATACTGATCTATATTAAGTGTCTTCGTGATATGTTTCTGCTAATGATAAGACATTAGAGATAAATATGAGGGAAAGGCAGAGTATAAATAGTTATTTAGAAGATGGAAAAGAGGACATATTTAAATAGATATTAAGCCGTTTGTTTCACTTTACTTCATTTCTAGATGATATGAAGGGAGAATCATGAGGATTAAAAGAGGCTTGTGTTAATATTTATGGTCCTGAAATTAATTACTTTCTTGTGATTGAAGAACATCTCAAGAATAAAAATATGTCACAAAATCTTTTTTAGTAAAGGCTAATTAAGAATCAGAGAGGGGGCCAGCCTGTGGCATAGCGGTTAAGTGTGCGCGCTCCGCTGCTGGCAGCCCAGGTTCAGATTCCAGGCATGCACCGATGCACTGCTTGTCAGGCCATGCTATGGCGGGGTCCCATATAAAATAGAGGAAGATGGGCACAGATGTTAGCCGAGGGCCAGTCTTCCTCAGCAAAAAGAGGAGGATTGGCGTAGATGTTAGCTCAGAGCTGATCTTCATCACAAAAATAAATAAATAAAAAATAAAAAAAGAATCAGAGAACTTTGGAGGGTATGAATCTTTACTATCCTGGTAAAGAATTCACATAAACTTGTAGTTCTGATTGAATCCTTTTTTATGTACTCTTGTTTCTAAAAATTTCTTTTTCAGTGCAGTAGATCCCATCACCTTTCTTCCCAGGTAATTGGAAAAATAATGAGAAAAAAACCTACTCATGTATTTCATCCTATCCTTTCCTGCTTACTCAAGGACTTTACTTTTGCTGTTATCTCTTCTTTCTCCTTAATCATATCATCAGATTTTTCCTTACTGAACTATTCCTACCAGTATACAAACCTATCTCCCAATCTAAAAACAAAAACTCATATAACCCCACATTCCCCTCTAGCTATTGCTTCCCTTTAAAGAAAAACTCTGAAAGAGTTGTCTATGCTTACTGTCTCCACTTGTCCTTCTATTTTGCCTTGAACTCACTTCCGTTAGGCTTTTGCCTCAGTCACTCCACTGATGACCAATGACTCCATCTTGCCAAATCCAAAGACCGATTCTCACATCTCTTCTTACTCAACCTATCAGCAACATAGGGCACATTTTGTCACTCCATCTTAAAACACTTTCTTTACTTAACTTCTAAAACCTCATTCTCTCTTGATTCTTCTGCATAACTGCTCCTCATATTTCTGACCTCTAAGTGATGGAGTCATCTAGGCTTGATTATTCAAACCTCTTTCTCTCTACCTTTATTCCCACGGTAATATTATCTAGTCACCTGGCTTCATATATTATCTGTATGTTGACTAGTCCCAATTTTATATCTCTAGCCCAGATTTCTCCACTGAAATTCAGTCATATATCTATCTGCCCCTTCTGCATCTCCACTTGGATGTCCAGTAGGTATCTCAAACTTAAATTTACAAAAACCAAATACTTGTTTCCTTCCTTATCCACCCCCATCCCACCAACCTACTTAAGCTGCTCTTCTCCCAGGCTTCTCTATCTCAGAAAATGGTAGCTCCAATTTTCCACTTGCTCAGGCCAAAAACTTTGGAGTCATACTTGACTGTTCTTTTCCCACTCCCCACATCTGCAAAGCATGTGAGTTCTACTTTCAAAATAAGTTGAGAATCTGACTACTTCTTACCATTTCCACCAAAAGAACTATGTCAAACTACTAATCTCTCATCTGGATTATTTTAGTAACCTCTTAACTAGTCTCACGCTTTCCACTCCATCTCCCCCTTCCATAGTCTGTTCAACACCTGACAGCTGGAGTGATCTTTTTAAAACACAACCTTGAAAAGCTTCTAATGTTTTCATATCTCATTCAGAATAAAGGCAAGTCTTCATCATAGTCCACAGGCCCTATATGATCGGACTCCTGGCTGCCTCTCTGATTTCATCCCCTACTACTTTCCCACTCATTCACGTCCACTCCAGCCACACTATCTTCCTTGCTATTCCACAAAAATGCCAAGCACACTCCTAGCTCAGAATCTTTGCACTTACTGTGCTCTGTGCATGAAATGCCCTTATCTTTTCTCAGGTATCTACATGGTTAGTATCATTAGAGAGGTCTTCCCTGACTTCCTGCCCACTCCCACCCCTCTTTCTGAGTGCCTTATTTTTCTTTAGAGCTCTCATCACTACCAAATCTTATGTGCAAGTATCCCTGGCTATCTAAATCTATTAAGTTTCTGATTCTGATAATGAGTAGGAATTTGAGGGATATCTATTATTCTAATCTACTTAGTTCCTGAGTTTCAGATAGAAGGTAGCAGAAGTTAAGATAACAGGAGATTTATCTATAAATGTTTCCAAATCTATTTGGTTCTTGAATTCGGATAGTGAAAGTTCAGATGGTAAGGAATACTTGTATTTATTTTTTTGCCAGTGTATCTGTCTCCTTTAACTAGAATGTTAGCTCTCTGAGAAAAGGGATGTTCTTTGTTTTTGTTTTTTATACTCCTCTATTACTATTACATCTTCAAGGCCTATAATACTTCCTGGCGTATAGTGAGTGCCCAATGAATAATTGTTGAATGAATAAATGTGTTTATCTCTACTCCCTCCTAAATTCCATTAAAACAACAATAAAGAAATAAATGTAAAAAACAAACACAAAGAGGCTCTATAGAAGAGACAACAGCACACAAGAGATAGCAACAGAGTTTTAGAAGCTGGAAAACTGATAGATGGTTGGTAACTGACAGCAAAGCAGAGAAAGCTGAAATGTAAGTACCTATAGAGAGATTCCAACACAAAGGAGGCCAAGTTGAGCTACACGATCCTTGAAAGCCTCAGCATTTGGAGGCACCTGCGTAACTCTGAAAGCAAGGGTAAGGAGAAGGGCTTAAAATGAGAGAATTCCTTGAAAGTTTGTATCAGGAATGGTTAGATATAACCCTCCCTTTCCCTCCTTGACCTAGCAAGAGATGGAAGAAACTGAATCAGAAAGGCTCTGAACTTGGGTTCGCCAAGCACAACAAAGGGTGGGAATAAGGCTGTAGTCTGAAAACAGGGATTAAGCGAAAGCATATAAACTGAATGGTGAGACCGTGCTCTCTCCTATACCCCTCCGATTCTCTGTTCTTCGCTCCTTGGCTCCTAGAATGCTGACAGCATAGGATAATAGAGGATTCTTCTCTGGAGAAACTGACAAACCCAAGAGGAAAGACCTAGAGTTTCAAATATTTGGGTTCTACCAAAAAAATGGCAGGTAACTTGCTTATATCAGACCTTTTAGATGTCTACTAAGTATACTTTTCAATATAAACAAACAGACAAACATCACTAGATGTTTGTAGAAAGCCTCTTACATGAAACAAAACAGGAAAGAAAAAAAGGAACTTAAAGGGAAAAGAGAATAAGAGGGAACAAAAGAAAACTTCCAAAAAACTTACATCCTCAAAGTGACAGAAGAAAGTGATAGATTCATGAAACAATATTTGGATGCCAAGGAAGGAAAAAAAGAAGGAAAGGAGGGAGTTTGGTCTTAGAAATCAAAAATATAATAGGAATTAAGAATTCAAAGAAAATTTGGAAGATAAAGCTAACTTCCCAAAAAGTAGACTAGAAATCATGGATGGATGAATGGATGGACGGATGTATGGATGGACAGAAGGAAGGGAGGGAGGGAGGGCATAAGGAAAAATAGGAGAGAAAAGATAAGAAAATTAGAGCATTAATGCAGGTGGCCCAATATCCAACTAAAAATAGTTACATAAGGAGAGAAAATGAAGAGGAGGAAATTACCAAAGAAATAATTTAAGAAATCTCCCCAGAACTGAAGAACATGGGTTTCTAGATGTAAAGGACCTGAAGTGCCCAGCACTGTGAATAAGACCCACACTAAAGCATATCATCATA